TCCTTGGCACTTTGCTATCTTTTGGTCCCAAAGTTAAATCCCTCAGCAAGGCACCAGAGGTCCCTCCAGATGGCTCTGGTTTCCTTTTCACCTGCTCCTCTATCTGCATCTTCCCTCCACCTTGTGTCCCCAGCCACATGCAGGTGTCCAAATTCATTGTGCAGCTCATGACTAAAGGCTTGGCACTTCTGTCTGAACCAGCCAAACACACACACTCATATGTACTCACATGCACACACACCCACGCACATGTACACACATCACCCCACTCCGTTCCCGATTCCCACTTCCTCCTTACAGCAACTCTACCCTCACACCCTCCTCTGAGATGCCATCCCAGATGCCAGACATAGATAGTCCCCCTACTCATTCCCACAGAACCTGCTGGAAGGCTCTCCACCATTGCGCCGAAGGCCATCCCTTGATAAGAACATCAGCCCTTCAGGACAAAGGCCATAATCTTTGGCATCTTCATGTCCTGACACCCTAACATGGAGCCTAGCAGACAGTCAGAACTACATTTAGGCAGCACTTAGTATATGTTCTCTTTAAGAGGGAGAAGATAGAAATGATTTTTTTTACATAATAATATTTAATTTATTCCTTATACCCTATAAAATGCACTGTAACAAAGGAACATATGTTTTATAAAATATATCACTGATACAAAACAAATAAAAACATCAACAGAAATGATTTTATATTCCCAAAGCAGCTCTTTGAGAAAGCACCCCAATATTTAAATATGAAGTAAAGAAGGTTCATAGAGTTTAGAAGCATGCCCAAAGCCACATAACTCCAAAGTTACAGCCTGCAGACCCTGCTCCAAGGCCACCTTGCTTGCATGCGGCACTCTGAACCCTCACACCGTACATAGCTATTATTCAGTGTCTACACAGTGGTTGTTCAGATCCAGAGGTTATACAAAACAGGCCAACAGTGTCATGGGCATGCAACCTGTGCAGCCCCACAAGGCCCACACTTGGTCTGACACTGCTGTCACAGTCTTGGCATTTTTAATAATTATTACTCAACAAGGGGCTCCATATTTTCATTTGGCACCGGGTCCTACAAATTGAGTCATTAGTTCTACCTAAGAAGCACATAGGAGGCATGTTTCTGCGCAGATTCCCAGGTCCCTTCCCCCATTTCTCTCTGAGGCCATCAGGGCAGGGCCTGTAATGACAGCCAGGGAGGGCTCCTAAGATCAACGCTCTCTCCAAGGCCCCATGGGGCGCCCAGCTGCAGTTCTACATGCTACCTCATGGTGGCAGTAGAACCCCGGCGTTTGTCAATGGCCAAGATGAAACTCGAAAAGAGGCGCCGTCTGTTTGACCGCTGCTGAGATCCCTGCCCTGCCAGCCATCTGCCTACTAGAATGCAATTGTGCTTCCTCTCGGCAAGGGTTTCCGGGCCACACGACCCGTGAGTTAGTGTGGTTCCTCCAGCTAGAGCCACAGCAGAGGTGCTGCTCGCACACCCGTAAAGCCTTCGGAGGTTTTGCTTCAAGCGCTCTATGGGCAACTGTCAGAGAGAAGCCCACTGCTCGTTGTTGCAGAAAAGGGCTGAGCAAGCACCCTGGGATGTGAGGTCCGGGAGAGGGCCGACCGGTAGGAACCCGCCCGTCCTACGCCGCCCGGTAGCTTCTCAAGCGTCTTCACACATGTACTCCCCTTGACACCCCACTCTTGTTTGAGGCAAAAAATCGCCCTCAGTAGATGAGAAAAACTGAGGCTCGGAGAAGGTACATGATGCAGGCAATGAAATGGTAAGAGATGGGACTGGATCCAAACCCAGACATCCTAACTCCAACATTCTTCTCATCAAGTCCCTGACCCAAATTACACTGGAACTTAAGAAAGAAAAAAAGGGGTGGTGCCTGTGGCTCAGTGGGCAGGGTGCTGGCCTGTATACCGAGGGTGGCCCCAGCCAAACCGCAACAAAAAAGAGCCCGGCTTGTGGCCAGCGCCTGTAGTCCCAGCTACTGTGTTTCCCCCAAAATAAGACACTGTCTTATATTTATTCTTTCTCAAGAAGACACACTAGGGTTTATTTTCAGGGGATGTCTTCCTCTCCACACCAAAATGCATGGCGTGTGTATGCAGATATGCTGCATAGCCACACCCATCACTAGGTCTTATTATTGGGGTAGGGCTTATATTTAACAAATGCATAGAAATCCTGTCAGGGCTTATTTGGGGAGTAGGTCTTATTTGCAGGGAAACACATTACTTGGGAGGCTGAGGCAAGAGAATTGCCTAAGCCCAGGAGTTGGAGGTTGCTGTGAGCTATGTAATGTCACAGCACTTTACCTACCAAGGGTGATAAAGTGAGACTCTGTCACTACAAAAAAAGAAAGAAAGAAAGAAAGAAAGACCCTGCCTGGGCCAGCTGGATGGGATTCTCTGAGGGTGACATACTGGCAGCAGTCTTTTCTTGGCATCTCTGTTGATTCAAATGTTCACCAAGGTTGAGAACCATTGTGCTTCCCAGGAGAGCAGACACAGCTGTCCCTCACCCAAGGGGACAAGAGACAGGGGTGTCTGGATCATAGACCCCAGGGAGGGGCTGCCTGTGCCCAGAGCACCCTAGCCTCTCTTCAAGCCCTTGGCCTGTTTCCTGAACCCACGGTTAGGTGGCTACACACTGTGGAGTAAGGGGCCTCCAGCCCCAGGGGAGGGGAGTTTGGGTGTGTTCCCTCATCGGTAAAGTAGACTAATAATAGTACTTCTTTCATAGATTCATGAGGATTAACTGAATCAATGCACTTTCAGGGTAGCCAGCCACATGCTGGCCTTGGCCTGGTGCAGCCTAGAACTCCCTCTTGGCTCAGCTCTGCCTATTCTTAGGGATCCCATTTCCTTGCACTTCAAGAAAGCTTATCTCTCAAGAAACAAGAGGTGCTGAGCTCAAGAAAGCTCATCATGCCTGTTTGGAAGGCTCTTTGGCTGTCCAGACAAACTCATCTCACACCTGGTCAAGGTCCCGGTGTGCCCCTGCCTCTTCAGAATTACTAGATGGACAGTAAGAAGGGAGGTGGATTGGACACAGCCGCAGGAGAGCCCCTCCTCTGTGACCAGGAAACTTCAGACTCCAGATGCAGGAGAGGAGGAACAGGAAAGGTCTGGCTCTGACCATGTGCTAAGGACGGGACCATGGCCCCAAGAGCTGAGCATCCCCCCGCCCTTCTGGGATTCATAGCAGAACACGTGGTGGAGCTCTTACAATCAGCCCTGGAGCCCCTCAGGTCCCATAGCCCGCAGCCTGTTTCCTTGCAGACAGCCCTTGGTTTCCTGACATTGCTGTTCTGGGGCCAGTTATGTAGGCCCCTCAGAGAGTAGCACCTGGCTTCTCAGTGGTGACACCTCCGTGAATGTGCCATTCAACAGCAGTCCCACCCCCTTTCTTTAGGGACTGAGTTGAACTGTCTCCCCCTGGGAAGAGGGAGCTCTCATTTCAGGGCCAGACAATCCCAATTCCAGGGCTTCTATCCCTATCTCCCTTCACAGTGTCATCTGCCCCTCTCTGCCCCAGCCCCAGGATGACCCTGCCCCTGGAAAGCCTCACTTAGGGTCCTGGCAGGGAGACTCTGGGGGCTGACGGCAGGATTCAATCTAGATCCAAGAGCTCCCCTTCCCCCATCCCTTACTCTTTCCCATTTTGTGAGTGGGAAACTATGTCAGGAAAAGCTGGATGGAAGGAGACCTCAGGTGCCCCTGGATCCCCTTCCCAAGGAGGCCCCAAAGACTCAGGCAAGACACATCACTTTAGTTTTCCTTTTTTTAATCTTAAGCAAAAGAGACACAGGGGTTCAAAAATAAAAATTTCTTTCCCCCCCTCCCAAGGCTTTACCCCGGCTCCCTCACCACAGCTCCTCTTCCCCCCCAGGGAGGGGGCAAGCAGGGAAGGGGGCAGGCATCTCCAGCCGGGGAATGAGGGGGGAAGCAAGGGAGGGTGCTGAGCTGGGTTCGGTGCTGGTCTCTTGCCAAATATAAATACACAGGTCAAGAACTCCTGGAAGATCCCCACCACCAACCACTCAAGCACTCTCCATCTTCTGCTGGTGTCTGGAGAAGGGTGGGGTGGAGGGCCAGGCACCGCTGGCTGTGGCTTACTGCACCCGCTGGGTGTGCACCCCGCGAGCCTCCTGCTGCTCATTGTAGAAGAGATGACACTCAGGGTCCCCCCGGATGGTGGGGGCTCCTTGGATCAGCTTCCCAGTGTTGGGGTTCACACACCAGCACTCCCCACGCTGCCCATTCAGAGACATCTTGCACTGGGGAGAGAGAGAAGCATGAAGCGCCACTCCCAGGGCCTAGGCGTCCTTCCTCCCCTGGAGGACGGCTCACTGGGCTGTTGCCCTGTGCTCAACTGGCACTGCAAGGTAGGCTTCCCAACCTCAACTGCACCCAGGAACATGTGCTGAAATGCAGAGGCCCATTCAGGAGGTCTGTGGTGGGCCAGGGACCCTGCACGCATAACAAGCTCCAACGTGACGCTGACGCTGCCGGCCCAGAGACCACTCTCATTAGCAAGGCCTGAGGATGCCCAAAGGTGACAAGACTGAGCCCCCAGCCTCAAGTTGGTCCCACCCAGTGAGGGACCCGGTATACGGGACCTTACCCATAGTGCAAGGTGAAAAATCTCATGTCACAATAAGTCAGTATGTGCCAGGCCCTGTGTTAGCACCTGACCCGCTGCTCACTCCCATTTCTGTCTCCCATAGATTCATTACAGCCTCATGACCACCTTGTGGATTAGATACAGTCATTCCCACATCACAGATGAGACTGAAGCACAGGCTGGTTAGGCAACTTGCCTGAGGACCCACAGCTAGTAAGAGGCAAAGCTGCCATGTGAAGCCAGACGCTTCTGTGATGAGAGCTGGAGACCTCAGCATCTCTCCCCTCCTCCCCTCCGCCCTTTCACACCTTCTCTCTGCCTTATGGGAAATGCACATATATAAGGGGTGAAGAGGTAGAGAAAGGCAGGGTGGGCTATGCAGAAGGACAACTGCTTCATGTTTGATCCCTGCCAAGTCTCTGGCTAAGTCAAGTCCATTTACAATGTTATGGGAGACTACTGCACATGCACATTGGTCATTAACATGCACATGAACAGGAAGTGAGGAGAGGAAGGGAAAGGGTTCCTGGAGGGTTTATCTAAACTGTCTTCTGTCTTTCTGGTCTCACATATTTCTGATTTTTCTATTACAGTTTTCAGAAATATTTTCAATGGCATTTCTCCATCCCCTGAGATACTTGGAAATCAGAATGGCTATTTGGCCAGTGAATCAGTGATTCTGAGGGGGGGGGCACAGACCATCAGCATCACCTGGGAGCTGGTGAGAACTCCAAACTGTCAGCATGTCCCACCCCACCTACCACACTAGCATCTGGGGCATGCTAGCATGCCACGACAGGTAAGCTGCTCTGGTTCAAGCCCACTTCTCTCCAAAAGCCTCCCTCCCAACCTGGACACCAAGTGTGGCTGGCAGCTGGCTCCCCAGCCCTGTCAGTCTCAGAAGTCTGAGGCTCCCGATCAGCTCAGACCTCAGGGGATTCTGGGCACACCCAGGGCCTGGAGCCCAGAAGGAGAAGGAGCCTCTCTGGCCCAGGGACACACACGCTCACCTGTTTGAGGTTGTACAGGCCATGCTTGTCACAGTTGGGGATGTGCAGGGAGTACAGGTGCTCCAGAGGGCCCCGCTCATCTGGAAGGCGCATGGTGGAGATCCGCTCCAGGACCTGGTCCAGTTCCTGCTGGCAGGGAGTCTGGGAGAACAGACAGGCGCAGAGGACACTTGGAGTCAGTAACAGGCCACCCAACACCAGGGCTGCACCTTGGGAAGGACCTCATGCACAGGGAAGGAGCTTCCCAAGGGCACACACTTGTAG